CCCTCTGGAAGGCAGAGCAGGGACACTTTGTGAAGACAGAGCGGGATTGTTCTGGAATGCCCTGTGAGGGGCACAGTGCTGCACTGGGACAAGGCACTCACGGTGCTGGCAGCAGCTGTGAGGGCACGTGTTTTTCAAAGAAACCTGGGGATCTGCCAGCAAATTTCAAGGTCTTGCTCCAGTTGGGGCATGAGGGCTGTGTGATGTAGCTCGGGGTGCAGTAGGCTTGGAGACCCTGAGGTAAAATGGCGTGAGGCTCTCAGGCAGAGCCTCAGCAGTGAGGCTGTGAAAACCTGCTCCCTTTTGCCCTCTCTCCTGGTGTGTGTAGCAAAGATTCAAGGCTGTCTTAAATAGTGAACAAAACATGTATTTACTGCCACTCCTCCTCATCAAATCCCAGGGCACTTATAATGAGCTCGGAGCAAGGATGAACGCTTGACCAGGTGGTCAGAGGTCTCCCAAAAAAGATTAATGCTCACCCAGGGTGTTTACATCCTGCTAGGAACTAGAATAGTCTCTTTCATGCCAAACCACAAAGCTGCTGGTTGAAACCTGAGCTGAACTTCCTTGACGATCAGAGAAGCCTGGTTATGTTTCAGCACAGCCAGTTTTCGTTTTCACACCTCTCCAAACTTGCTGGGACAAGAACCAAATGTACAAGAATACAGTGAACTCCTATTCTTGGGACGTTGCTGACCCAATCCCAAGCAGCATGTGTCAGAGTATACTAAAAAAAGCTTGCTTTCTCTCAAAAGACTTCCCGATTTGACTTTTTTTGAGGCTTATGTGGTGTGTGTTGTTCACATAAACTCTAAATTTTTGGCCATCTACATTTAGCTAACCCATAGTTAACTCATAGAGGCTGTCATTTAAGAAAGCCTCATATCTTTAATGTGATCCAGTTTTCTCCCTTAATTTAAGGCAAATGCTGCCTCAGCACACGCAGAGGCTGCCCATTTCCCAGAACACAGTGTGCAGAGATCTGCCCATCATAGCTTTTCACCCACTGATGTTGGTGACACATCTGTCTACCAGATTAATTCCAAAGCTCCTCAGTGGGTTTGGCATCGTGGGTTTTTGGGCTGTAGCTTTCCTACTATTGCCAGGCACAGTAGTTAACCAGCAGTAGATTGGGTGCTTTTACATGTCACACCTTCAGTTCCAGTGCAGACAGATGTCTGCTGCTTATATCCCAGTGGAGGTTTTAATGGATGGCCATCCAGCAATGACTAACTCATGCAAGAAATAGCTCTAAATACTGCTGTGCATTTGTGAGTAAGTGTAAAGTGCTACAAAGCTCAGAGCAGTATGCTGTGAAATAGTCCAGCCAGCTGGAAACTGTCCACCAAATACCACAAGGAGGCCGGTTGCTTACAGTGCATCTCTTCACTGTGCAGATTAGGGAGGCTTTTCTGCCTTCTCAGATGCTGAATAAATCTAAGCACTGCTGCAGGATATTGCCAGCAGGTTCAAAATAATCAGAAGTATCACATGTCCTCGACTATTTTGGGGGATTGCTCAGACAGTTGAAGAATTCTGCTCGGGGCTCCCCTGTAGCTCCTTTTAGGATTTCTGGTAGCCAAAATGCTATTTGTAGGGCTAAAGGCACTGGAGTTTTGAGTAAAAAAATGCAACAACTCAAAACTCTTTTAGCAAAAGGCAGTGAGAAAGGCAGGGAAGACAGCAGCTTTCCAGTAGGTTAACTCCATCCTGTTTCTTTAAGCCATGTAAAGTTTTGATAATGAAAGGGGACTAGGGCAAGGCTGGAGGATGACAGGTCCTGGAATCTCAAGAGAGTCATGAGATAGTACTCCCTAGCTACAGAAATGCTGGAATGAATATGGAGGACCAGTGCTGCTCATGATAAAACTCGTATCTCTAAACAACTTTATCTGTCTTAATGCCTCCCTATCCATAATCAAGCAATTAATGAGGAGTCAGAGCTCTCATTTTAAACAATCCTGAAGGAAATCTTGGGAGTAAACACAGAATGCTCTGCAATACAGTTTCAAGAGACTCTTTCGTGGCGGTGGGAGGGGAAGTGTTACCCTCCCAGTTCTTGACTTGTGGTCACTGGGAACTTGGGGCTGGTCGCTCACCATGAACAGGAACGGGCAATGCCCTGGCAGCTAACAAAGAAGTGAGTCCTCATCAGGAAGAGACAGGTTCACATTCTGTTTCAGGTCCTGAGCTCTCTCATCCTGGAAGGATTTATTCCAGTCTGCCCCCTGTATCTAGACCATAACAATGAAAGCAAAAGATTCTTCCCGTTAAAAAAAAAAAAAGGAAACAAGTAGAAAAATGCCCATTATGCTAATGATAGAATAACTTGCAGTGAGAGGTGGCATGATTTAGAGTTATTTTTTGCAAATATTCTAGGCTCCATTTACATTAGTGCCAGATTAAAAGTGTCTGATGGCTACTGTTGTTACAAGAGCTAAGTCTGACAAAAAGAGTACCTAGTCATGATAGGACTGAAATGGGCTACACCTTGTTTGAAGAGTTTATTTATATAGCAGGAGTTTAAAATACTGTTTATTGCCATTTCAGTGTGCCATTTGACTGAGCATTAGTGGAGCCTGCGATCATCAATTACTCACCTAAAATCTGTTTATATCAGCTACATACACATGGTGAGTAGTGTAAATATATATCGAGTATGTATATATAAGCTCAAATCACACTCTAAATGCAACTAGATATTTACTATAAACCATTCTGAACTGGAACTTTACTATGATGCACAACCACAAGATATCCTTTTTAACTGTACAAACCTGCTGGGGGAACATGAGGGTTGAGCAGTCATCTGGGTAAAGTCAAGGTTAACTGCATTCCCAGGGCTCCAAGATTTAATTAAGTAACATTGCTAGGGCCTTTGAAAGTGGAAATTGTAATGTCAATGCTGTGTTCTCTTCCCCACTTCAAAAACATATCATTCCAGAAGCTGGCAAGCAAAGCATAAGGTTTAAACAACTTACTTCACTCAGTGTATGTTGTGAGTTTACCTCATCACCTAATTTAAGAAGTCATCTCAGTACTGTTACCGATTTGTCCTTCATAACTGGAACAGCTTCTCAACTGCATTATGTCATGTTCCCTTGAGTCTGCAAAATCTGTTAACTTACATTTCAATTCATTTGCTTTTAGCAGCTTGCCCTTCAAAAATCCCATTCTTCTGAAATTTCTTGGCTTCCCTTCTACAGCCTCTAGTTGTTAAGATGGAGTTGTGACAATTTCGATGGCAACTCTCTTAAATACCTCAGACTGCAGCTACTGAATGCTACAGTAATACTGAGGATATTAACAGGTCAGTGCTAAGAGTGCCCAAGGAGGGCAACAAAAACACTGACTTGAACAATTGAAAGTTACTTTCTGAAGTTCATTTTCAGAAAACTTTCTTACAATATGCTAAGAAACACATTGGGACCATGAGGTGGAGGTGAGGGTAATAGGAATAAAAACTGTGGGGTGCTTTGGGTTTTTTGTTGGGTTGGGTTGTTTTTTTGTGGGAAGGGGAGGGTTGGTTGTTTTAAAATCTTGGGATGGGGAAGCACAGTCCTATCTAGAGCTCTCGTAAGTAGCTGTTTTCCAAGCTGGGCAGAACGGAATAGGGAACTGGGTATGGATTGCCAGGAGCTTACACACATGCTCCTCTGGAGTGTAACATCATGCTTCTGTTATGAATCATTTTGAATTTAAAATAGCGAAACAGAAAAGCTGAACCCTTTATTTTATGAAAACAAGCAAATCCAGTATCTGGGCCCTGTATGCAGACTGCTTTTTGATTCACCTTCTAAAATCATTCTGATTTTGGTTTATGTTGGAGGTTCCCAAAAAGGTGTTGTAGGTAAAAGAGCTGTGTAAGAACTCCAGATCATGGACCTTTAAGACTTGGTTCAAGTCTGTTTGATTTATTTTCTTACAATTGCTGAGCCCTGCTGTGATGGTGTCTGCTCAGAACAGAAATGCTGGGAATATTGACTATATGAAGGGTGTAAGTGGATCTTATTTTAACTATTGTTTCACTTGCACTTAACTGGGGCCAGAAAATAGGTTAGGCAGACTTGTCTCTGTTGGTTCATATGTCATTATTCACATCATAAATGGTAGGGATTAGGGAAGAAATACTAGGGTTGAAAATATCTCATGTAGCAACTTCTTAGTGGTCAGAATCAAAGAACTGGGAGGCAATGGAAAGATGAAAATAATGTAACTTTACCAGTGTGTGGCAATGTCATGTCCTTCTGGGAACAGACTAAGAGACAGTAATTTAGTAATAGATGCAGTTTTCATTTGCCTCCACCCTTGTAATTTTCTCAGTTGACAGTGTTCTACAAGTTTATAAGCTGGCTCAGTCATCTGCTTCTTGACATTTCTTTGGTTTGACTTCTCCTTCCCTGTCATTTTCTATGTCAAGTGTTCTTTAACTGTGTTTAAAATTGGCAGCAACAGTGAGCAGGCTTTTGGCATGGCCACAGTTGCTTTCAAAGATAGTAGTCTCCTCACCTCAAGGGACCAGAGAGCAGGGGAGAGTTGTGAAACTTTCCTCCCCACGAACTCGTTTGCTTTCATGCTCAGGGTCAGGAGTTCTGGCTTGTCCCTGTGCAGAGCAGACTGCTGCACAAGGGCTGCGGTCCCTGCCTGCTGGCATTTGAAGGTCCAGGAGTGGTCCCCTGATCAGCTACAAGTGGGAAAACATAGAGGCTGCTGCTGATTGCTCAAAAGGTGTGTTATGTCAGAGCAAGCATCGTGTGGGAATTGCAGGCATATGTTGACTGCAGGGGATATGACAGGAGGAGTGAGCACTGGGATGCAATCCAGCTCCTTTACAGTTGCTAGAGCCAACTTGCCTTCAACATCTGTACTCAGGATTGCCTGCAGGAATAGAAATTATGTTCCACTTTATTCCAGTGAGCCATCACAGGAAGGTTTGGCTCTCTAATTCATTGTATTTTCTCTTTCTCAAATTTGTATGAACGTGAAAAGAAAGGGAAGTAGTGGTAGCTGTACCCATCGGGAACCAGGTGAGCCAGACACCTTGTAAAATGTATCAGACTAAACAAATGTGTATGTTTTCTGCATTTCATTTGCTGTTTCTTATGGACAGACTGTATATGGGTGTGAAGGAATTTTGTTTTTACCTTTTGTATCCTGAAACACCCTTTCTAACAATAAAATGTATAACTTACAGGTAGCCCTATGAAAATCATTCAAGGTGGTATTTAATATGGTTAATGATCAAAAAATTGGATGGCAAGCATTTACTCGCTGCCGTGTCTGGTGCTTCAAGGTAGTTCAAGAGGATGGAATCTTTGGGTATTAGATATGTTAAAAGATACTGAAGCTCTTGATTAGTTCTTCATCAAACCACAGCGTTCTCTTCCTTTACTCAAATATCCTCTCTGTGGTAGGGAAGCTAATTTGAAGACAGCATAAATTTCTGGATGAAGTCACCAATAAAGTTAATCTTATTGATTAAAATTATGCCTTTTAGTTGTCAATGCTGTTGAATTCTCATATTTGATACAATTAAACCTAAGAGGTCCTTAAAAAGGTCCTTAAAATTGTTCTTAATGTACAAGTTTGAACTGTCACAAGGCACAGATGAGCTGCTTAATGTTTAGCTAAAAATTACTTAGTTAATCTCTTGCATATTTTCTTCATATTTTGGCCTATGAAGGACTGTTCATTATTTGAGAATGTCTTGGCTCCATCTGCAAGATCTCATTTATTCTTTTGAAATTTGCAGCCTTCCCAAGCTTGGCATCTGTGATATCACAGACAATGAATTACTGTGGCTGGAAGTCTCTGGAATTAAAAAACCCTCCTCCGTAAGAACATAATTTTTTTTTTTACGGATTTGGGGTTTGTTCTGAGGAAACACAGTTGACAAAAAAATAAAGTTTTCAAAGCTAACAGATTTTTCATCTTCTTTTCCCCCCTCCAAATGAACAAGGGAGTACTGATGCCGAGGACTTGCTCTTTAAATAAATGGAATCTTTCTCTCCTCTCTTGGCAACAACAACAGTATTCTTGTGCTGTATGACAAGGCTTGCTGGTGCTATATTTGTCTTGTAGCTCTACACACATTTGCAAGAGGTTGTTCAATAAGAGAAAGGCAAAGAGCCAATACAGTTTAAAGAAAGTTTATTCTACCCCAGTCTTAACTTTTTGGGTTGGCTTAAAGACAAGGCTACATACTTCTGGAGGATCAGGGAATATCATTACTGTTGTGAAAGTAAAACTTTCCTGAGTTGTCTCTGGAAGGATTAGGGCTGTGGAGAAGGGGGGGCTGGGGGTGTGACACCACAGACGTTTTGAAAATGGAGTTCAACAGATGTTTGGGTGCATCAGCAGAAGAGGAAAAAGGAAGACAAGAGGGTGGGGAAGATGATATTAATAATGCTGGCAGTAGTGCTGTCCATGAAGAGCTGGATTTGGGACAAATGTACCTTACCCGTTTCCCTGAAAGATATATAAAAGTGAAATTCCCTCTCACAGTGTACCTGACATGCTGGCTGTTGCTGAAACTTTGCAAGGTAAGAAATTTTAGTACAAATCTGTGGCATTTTTAACTTCCTATGTGTTTAAAATACGAAGTTTCTGCTGAAGCATTTGAGAATTTATTGTGTACCATACAGTTGCCTTCATGCTTTATTAGGAAAAGGAGCATTGTACATATTGACTTTGTAGCCAGAAACAGGTGATTCGACAAGGGAAAACTTGAAGGGGCTACTAATGAAGTCCTATACAAAGCAATACACTAGTAATAGCTAGCCAGTTTGTCTCTGTGTACTGTTACATAGTTACAAGGGATTTGAGATTATTTTATGTTAATTTAAAGGTGAAATTTCTTGTAATGCTCTTCACTGGTTTACATTCATCTCTTGTGCTGGATGAGTACCAGAATGTACTTTAATCCTGAAAATGTGAACATTGTAAAAGCAAAGAATTGGGGGGGGGCTTGGAACATTTTTGTCAAATATAATGGGGAATCAGTTTTTGAGGTTGTGGTGGGACTTATTTAAAAATTGATCTGGGCACATCTAATAAAATTACTTTTGCCTAATGTGTTACTGGATGGGAAGCAACAAGGCATTGGCTCAGGTATAAACACCATAGTTCATTTCATTTCACCTCGCAAAAAGCTGTTTTAACGTTCAGATTGGAGTAAGGAAACCTCCAAAAGCGATATATTTGAACTTCAAATGCTGGTTCGTTTATGCATAACAATGGTATATTAGTAAATTTAGAATGTGTAATAGGTCTTGATTTGTCTCTCTGTTACTGCATTCAAGCCTTAGTTGATGGCACTTAGTTGACGGGCAGATCACCAGATAGATCAAAACAAATGGCAAGGCAGCATTTGCTGGCTGCTTTTTCTTCTAAAGTGTGTGACAGAGGAAATCCATGATGATGATGGGGTGGAGACCACAGGAGTGGGGCCAGGTGGTGCCTCAGCAGCAAGGAGCCTTCCCCTCTATGTGTGTGGCAGCTTTGGGGCAGTTACATCTGCTTTTTTGCCAGCATAGCTATGCAAAACTATAACATAAAAACCAGTACTAACAGTTTTATCTGTTAGATTGCTAGACAGCTTTTTCCATGTATATTCATAGTGTCTTGGCTCTTGTCTGTGTTTATCCTGTGGTGCCAGTTGCTTGCATTAGGTGGCAGATAGAGACCCTTCCATGTGACTGTTTCGTGTAGTCTCTCTCCTTGCTTACTGCAGGGATTTTTCGTGAGGTTGAATGAGAGGGGTAGGAATCCACACAGCCCTGAGGGTGGAGTAAATAGCCCTAGGGCAGATGTCTGAGCAGCCATTCAGAGCCATCCTGTGAGGCAGAGACTTCCTGATGGTTTTGGGAGTGCTAATCCAGGGTGGGGAAGGTTGCGCCTTGTCTGGATTCTAATTGATTTTATTGATTTTCTTGTACTTTGACCTGTTTGCAGCCACTGAATTTGTAGGTTTTAAGAGCCATACCTGTATTACAGAATGAGCCAGAGCCAGTGGCTGTACATCAAGTAGCTGGTCTCTGTGTGTGCAACAACTACAATACCTGGGATCACTGCCTGTGCATAGATATTTTAGTAGATTAGTTGAGATATGTGCAGGAAACATTGAGTGGCTGGACAGAATGGTCTTGTGCAAACGTTACCCTCTAGGATAAATGGTTGTTCCATTTCTTCGTGGATGTAGTTTCTTAAATGACAGGAAGAGTTTACAAAACACATAAGGTAGAAGAGGTTTTTCTGTCTGTGATTGTCCCTTCTCATATATAGCATTATATTTGCACAGTGCATATAAGTTTTTTCAGTCGAGAAGGGAAAATTCATCCTGCAGTAGAGTGAAGAGAGGTAATGTAGCTTCTGCTAAAGTCACAAATTTCTTTAGACAGCTTTCTGAGAACTTTACAATGCCCCAGCTAAGCCAAGAGGATAACTAAACCTCTGATTTATTAATGCTTCTTTCTTGCTGAGCTTTCTTAAAGACTGTTCAGATTGGAGACCCCATTTTCTTATTTCCTGACACTCTTCCATGGCTTAAATCTCTTCCAAGTCCTAATCCATTCAAAAAGTGCTATTTTTTTTCTCCTTCCCCCTTGCAAGAACAAAAGCAGCACAGTGTTGCTTTTTCTCAGGTTCTGCAGCTTGGCAGAACCCAGGAATCCTGCCGTGGTGGGAGGGGAGGGAAGGCCAACAGCATTGAAATGGTGCTGTGTTACAGAGTCACCCTTTGTGACAGCTTGTGTACATCCCCTATGCATCAAAATGGTTCCAGTTCTTGGCTACAAATAGGGCTCCAGGTGGTCATGACTTGGAAAATGTCAGGGGCTCCCTATAACTCCTTATCAATGCTACCACAAAAGGGGAAGTAGTCACGTGTCCTTTGTGTGAGTGGTGGAATGAGCCCTGTGTCTCACCTTTCTGTAGACTAACACAATGAAGAGAGACTGTGTTTAGCAGGTGAGAAACCAGACACTGACCCGTGCCTACTCTCAAGCAGTTTGACGTGAAGTTTAGGTACAAAATACTCAAATCCCACCCATGAGCAACAGGAATACACGCAATAAGCCTGTCAGAGTTCAAGAAGCCTCTTCTGTAAACTGCCATATGGGAAACATGCCACTTGTGTCCCCAAGGTTGGCTTCTGTTTTTAGGGGTCATCACTCCTTGTGGGGAAGAGAGAAGAGGTTTTGAACCTTTCTAAAAGTGCCATGAGCCACCAAGGTTGTAGTTTCAGCCGGTGCTCCTTTTCAAGCCCCATATACAACATGAGACAGTTGCGAAGAAAGGATGGTTGGACACACATTTTGTTGAGATGTCTCTCAACAAGTTAAACTTTTTGCTTCTGTACAAAGATTCAGGTGGCTAAATGTTACAGCTTGTCTATAGATGGAACTTTTCTAATCTCTCATATATTATCCAAGTTAGTGTTCTCAAGCCATCTTTTGAAATGGTGAGTTTCTCCTCTTGGGCTACCTGGTTTTGCACCAAGTAGCCCTTTCTTGCAATGGGCTTGGATGAGTGAGTTTGGATGTGTGAGTTTGACTTTCAAACCTTGTGAGGGCAGCTCTGCTGCCAGATCTCACACGTGGACAGTGCTTCCCTGACATTTTGATTGCATATTTCACACTAGTGGACTTGGATTATTTTGTAACCAAACTGCATGAGAGTGCACACAGATTGGTGCCTGGTTGCTCACCTGCCAAACACAGTCTCTCCTCATTCTATTAGTGTTAGTTGTTCCCATCGTAAATCAGCTCTTTATTTTACAGTTTGTAAACCTGTATTGTGTCTAAAGATACTTGCTCACAAAGAAGCAAACAGCTTTATGAACTTGGGAAAATTTTTAGAAACAAATAATTAAATTAGTGCAGTCTCCTGTGGACAATTCCCTTTTTTATGTATAACAATGATTTATATTGATTTAACAAGGTGATTACTTTCTAGCTTAAATAAATAGAGTTCTGAAACACTTTGAAACAAAGATACCCCCAAAGAGAGATGGACATTGTGTTCCACC